TGTGGTCACCTCCGGGGCAGGCGGGGATCGAACTCATGCCGAAGTGGCTTAAGCTTCTTTGTGCTGTGCTTTAACCCGCTGCGCCACCAGGGAGGGCCAATCCCTTGCAGTTTTTATTCTGTTTTGCATGTCTACTGTGCTAAACATCTTTTATATAAATTTTCAAGACTCTATAATTATTTCCTTAATAAAAATTCACAGTGATGAGTTTACTGAATTAAACTCAGGTATTAAGTTCTGTGTTTAGGATTACATACTGACAGATTTCTAAAATAACAGAAGGTTTATGAGGTCCAAGATGAAAATGTGCTTAAGAATAGTGTTATCCACCATGAAGTCTAGGACTAACCTCAGACCACCTTCTCAATTCTTTTCCTTTCAGTGACTTTCAGGGTGTGCCCAGACTTCCTGTTTTTTAAATATATGTAGTATTTCTCTGCTCCTTGATCCAATTCCAGGGCAGTTTTTGACACAACATCATTCATTATGCAAAGCACTAAGGGATCCCATGTGTGTGGCAACATGTGAATCAACACCATAGCATTTGTTAGGATACTGAGGAGCCATTGACATACTCAGTTCTAGAGACCAAGCACGAGTACAGCGGGGAATGATTGTCACAATGAAAAATATCTAAAGCTATCACATAATCCATTTTTATTATCTGTAGATACACCTTGCATATGACAGTGGCTTTAAGACTCACCGGTTCGAACTCCTTTGCACGCTTACTGATTCTTTCAGATAGTTGGCAGTCTTACTTCCTAAAGGAACCTAGAGGAAATTAGGGCCAGGGGAGTTCAGTATTTTTCCCAGCAATTTCAGGTTATGGTGATCTTACTCCCAGAGTGGCAAAGCGTGGCTTTTCTGGTTGGCTTTGCTATTTCCATTTAGTTAGTGCGATAAACACAGTCTTGATCTCAGCGGATGCTTAAAGAAACTATGTATATATTCATTTTGGGAAAAGTAAGCAATTCTTGAAATATATAGAGGTCAGGATGGTTCTAGAACTTTAAAAGTACAATAAAACATGCTATAATCATTTTACCTAAAAAAGCAATATAGCCAGTTGACGGTATTTGTATGTGAAGGCTCATAAATAAATAAGGGAACTTTCATTTTGATTCAAAAATGCGTACTGAAAGCCATTCTTGAGCCCATGACCCAAAAGAACAGAGGTTTAGTGTATAAGCTTCGAGTCTTTGTTTCTAAATATGTATGTGTGTGTATCCTGCTGTGTGTTCACATTGGTCATATAAATTATTTGTGTACAATCATTATAAAACTTCACCAAACATACAGTCTGCCATTTTCTTATATACAAACATGAACAGTCAGTACCATAGTTTACAACCTTGATATTTAAAAGGAAAGAGATTCTTCCTCTCCATGGTTAGCTGCTCTGATCCCAGTTATTGGCAGACAATTTACCATTTGTTTTCTCTAAAGGGACACCTTTTTTATAGGAAACTTTAGAACTTCAGCTCCCAAACTCTTCTTACTTCCGTAGATTGCACTTCGAAGTATACTTTTCCCTGTAAAAGTTTTCTGAGGTCCCTTTGATGTGGCATTTGCCACCTTCAAACTTGAAAGCAGATGGTGCCATCCATGCATACCCTGATTCTTCTCAGAGCTCCTCTTCCTCACTCTGCAGGCACCAGATGAGCCCATTTAGCAGGTGTTGTTCTGCCCATATGCCTCACATGGGGCACAGTTTCAAGGACTTGCCTAGCTTCCTGCTGCCCCTGGGAACACAAAACCTGCATCTGTCCTTGGGAAAACCACTGCCTTGCTGTGAAGTGTAGGATCCTACTGCTTTATCTCACCTTCAGTTTTCTCCAGCCAGACAAAGAGCCACATCCTTTGATTTCTAGACCTTGGAGAATTTTACCAAAGTGTACAAATGTTCAGTGTTTTCTGTTAAGTGTCTAAACTTGTTTCTTCCATCTGAATATATTTGGCTAAAATAAATTGTAATCATCTTGCTCTGGATTCATATTTTAAGATTTAATGACAATATGGAATCAACAACACATCACTGATACCTTTTTTTAAAAAGCAGTCAACTGGTGCCTCTTGATTTTTGACTTTTAAGTACTAACTTGTAGACAATTTGACTATTGTAAAAGGCCTGGCTTATTAAAAAGAGGGCATCAGCAGCTGCCTAGAAAATAGGAACAATTTTTTCAAATTAAAAAAAAAATGTCTTATTCATCTATGCAATCTATTGTATAGGTGGAGCAGGGACTTTCTGAAACATTCCATGAACTGGTTCCTACCTTAACTGGTTGCCCCGATATGTTTCAGACTGGGTGGTATTGTATAATTAATAGAAGGGCTGGTAATAAATGCTTATATTAAATTAATGTTTCTTCGCCTCACCAAAATGTGAAGTTCTTGAAAAAGAACTCTAGATTAAAGTTAAGGTCTCCTTAAGTGAGCCCCTTCCATTTCTACCTCTCCTTCCTCTGGAAGTAGGCCTGTTAGCCACTCGGCATGATTGTGGAAGGTGCAGGTTATACATATGTTTGGGTACATTTAACACGTGGCTCTGCCTGCTTCCTCATTTGCTGTTGTTCACTCAAATAAGACAGGCTATGTTTAGGAGACTCTACATGCTGTGACCCATAGAGACTGTTCATTCTGCTTAACTCTGCAGACTGCTTAATCACCTGCCATCCCACGGTATATTTAGAACTCGTTTCTAGATTTCTTTCAGGTCAACAATACTGCATTGAAACTGCAATCTTGAATTCATCTTTCAAGCAGAGAATGAAAAGTGGCCTGTGTTATATATATGAAAATTTTAAGAGTCAAGGAATTTAAGATGGTCATTCTTACATATAATTAGCAATTTGGATATTGAAGTCATTTTCTCTAGCTCCTCCTCCTAGTTGGAGACTGTTTGCAAATTTATATTGCTTGTCATTGGAATCCTAAGTCAAGTCAAGTCCTGTAAAATTTAGCTATGGTGATATCTTGTTTATTTCAATTCTAAGGAGATTAATCTGAATCAAAGAAAATTCTACATTTAAAGAGGTAATATAATAATTTAAAGGAGATACAGTAATCCACACTAATATAATTTGATAGAGTTTTTAGTGAACAAATAAAAACACCCACTAATTATTTTCAAGCATAATGAAATATCTAAATTGTGCAACATATATTATATTATATTATTATTAGATTATATTAATTTTAATGTACTTAGCATTCATTGTCCCTGAATAGAGTAAGGTCGTCCTCACCTCTTCCTTTCCGAATGGTATAAATTCAGCAAAGGAAGGCAAAAGGGGTAGAAGTTGAGGCTACTTTTCACCAAGTATACTTTGTTACTTATTATAGCTGTCTTGCAAACTGAGTCTTTTTACTTTTGTTTTATGCATTGAGAAACTGAAGCAACTCCCTGAGGTTGCCTGTATGAGTCTGTCTGACTTAGCAAAAGGATGCTCTTTATACTGTATCATCATTTCTGTAAGTGTGGTCCTTAGAACTCCTGTTTCAGAATCTCCTGGTGTACATTTCAGATACCTGCACTTGAGGGAGGGACCTGGGATTGTACATATTTAACAAGCTGCCAAGTGCTCCGTACACACTGTGAAGTGTGCGAGCCATTCTGTCAGACCGTGATGACCTCATTTTGGTGATGCGATGAGCCTTGCAAGGAGGCGTAATCTCTGTCACGCTGCACTCACAGTGGGCACGGTGTGGTGCATCTGGAGGTGGCTTCCTCCTGCTCCCACTCTCCCACTCACCTACTCCCTTTGCCTCACATTACTTGCACCTAACTCAGCCCTGCTCATGGTTTGACAAGTCACTTCCAAAAGATGGGAAATCATTACACAATCTAGGGATCATTTTCCCAGAAAAGTTTGAAGTTTCCAGTACCTACTACAGATAGCATCTGCACTTTGCATGCAAACCCTTGCTAATCAAAAAAAAATTAAAAATCAAAGGGCAGCTTGCAGAAATACTACTTTTGGAACAAGCAATAATTGTGGCTTTTATTTTCCTTTCTAACCTCCCTTTGCTATACTCTCCTCATAGTAGATTTCCCATCAGTCTGTCCCTAATAGCTGCTGAGTTTCCTAGAAGTGAGAGATCAGTGGTGCCTTCCATCCTCCCCCTCCCACATAAGGACAGGGTTTGAGAAGAGCCAGCCAGATTCCGTGACCACCTTTGTGTCCTCGGCCTTTGCCTGTCTCCATTAGTGTCTCTTTTCGCTCAGGTTGGTGAAATTTCTCTTCTTTCCTTCCAACCTGCCTCCCAGTCAGGAGCTGATCCCAGCCAGAGTCCATTCCCACAAGCTCAATCAGAGTTTGCATGGAAGACCCGTGTGCCGCCGGCGTGTGTCTGAGCGGTGTGCTGATGATCTGGAGGGGGGCCTTATACTGACTTTCATTTATGTTGTGTGGTAGCAAAAGGGGAAGAAAAAATCTTTGTTTGGTGTTCAGCTCATCCAAATAAGGAAAGCATTTCCTCTCTTGAAAGACAGGGGGTGGGGAGGTGGGGGGGAAGGACCAAAAAAAAAATTTTTAATTTTAACCGTGTACTCTTCTGAAACTAAATATACACACCCCTTCCTCTGCCCTGATTGGTCCGCTTCAATTGACAAGTAGATCGTATAGAAAAGAAATATCCTGGGCTTAATTGTAAGTTAAGTCTCTCTTAATCCAGAAGAGCATTTGAGATTCTGTCCAAGTGTTCAATTTCCCAGGCCGCTGAGGTCTGTGAATTTCTTTTCCCAGCCTCCAGGCTGCTGCAGTACAAGTCAGCATAGCTAATGCAGATAGATCTCCTGCCTCTCGCTCTCCTCCTCCCTCTGCTTTGATTCGATATGAACAGCCTGGTAACTCCGATGCTGGGGAGAAATCTGACATAACTCTGCAGATGGCTAGGTTGCCATGAAACACCTGGGGATTGTTCTTTAAGGAAAAGGTAACATTTATATGCTAATGATTTCTTCCCCTCTCCCCTCCTTGTTGCATTTTTTCCAGGGCTGCCAGTTCCCAAGAAGAGCCCAAAGTCGGTAAGGACTTATCAGTTACTTGGGGCTTGTTTGGGGGGGGCGGGGTACGGGGAGGGCTAGTGGTGGGAGGGGTGGCTTTCTGGCTTGACTTCACTGTATGTATTTTTGAGTGAATGGGGGAGCCGGAGCTTATTCTGTTAAGTTCTGGGGATCTGTTTGGTATAGAATGTATTGGGGTTTGCCTTTTTGCCTTTAACTGCTTAATGATTTGTGGCCAGGCTGCAGGAGCTAGGATTAAGAATGCATGCTTGAAGTCTTCCCTATGTAAATGCATCTAAACTCTCATTCAAAAGGATGAGTTTTCTTGGATGTTTTAACTTGATACAAATGCTATTGTTTCCTTTGGGAGGTGGAGAATAAAAAGCTCCACCTGCTTCCTGGGTAGCATTCTCTCAACTGGTGTTTCCAGCCTTTCACATGGCTAGATCACTCTCAGAGCTTTCTTAGGCGCTGGATGATGAATTATTTACAGAATTTAAAAGCCTATGGGTTTAAGAAAGAATTGCTCTGCCCTGTGTCTGTGTCCATGCTCGGTTGGAACAGTGTTCCCTGCCCCAGCACTGACAGTAAGACATTTCTTTGCTGTGGAATTGTCCTTTGTTGTTTTGCAAGCTTTAGCAGCATTATGCTGCAGGTATAGGATTCTTTAAAAAAAAAAAATCAATGTTTTGCTGTCCTTTCTAATCTGGTTTCCCTGAAGATGCATTACCTAGTTGACATGTTAGCTAATAGCTTAGAGGCTGTAGTGTTTTGCTTGGTGGTGTGAGCTTCTGCTCCCCGGGCACTAACAACAAATTCAAATGCTACTTAAAAACTCAAAATTGGGACTCCAGTGCCTATAAAATTGATCCAGGTGGAAGAGCATTCCCAATTCATTCACTTTAGGATAATGAGCGAGTCTTTCATGTGGTTTCGAATATTTGGGGGAGGAAATTTTTCAGCTTTCTGCCACTCGGGAAAAGACAACCTTTAAAACTTTGCAGCTCACGATGCTGCAGCTAAATTCTTTCCACCTGTCTCCAGATCTGACAGAGAGAGACAGAAGTTTATTAAGGAGATGAGATAAGGAGCTTCCTGCATCCTTAAGCCCTCCTCCTAAGTCCTACAAAGAGAAAAACCTGCAATAACTGATGTGATTCTAGTGCCATAGTATCGTGGTGATTGAAACATGTGACTTCAGAGCTGCTTCTCTTGTCAGTTTGCATTAACGTTCAGGTAGAAAAGTGCTCATTGGTGTCCACATTGGAAACAGAGATGCCAAAGTGTGTGTGTGTGTGTGTGTGTGTGTGCACGCGCGCATGTGTGTGCCTGTATGCGCGCATGTGTTTCTCGGTGTGCCCTCAACCCTGGATGGTAGTCAGAAACCTGTTCAGCCTTAGAGTAACAGGAGCAAATTTGGAAGACATGACACATGAGGCTTGAATTCATGGGAGCCATCCCCTTTTTCCTCACACTCCCTCACCCATGCTACAGGATGCATGGACTGATTTTACATACCCCACATGGAATGGAGTTTGACACAGAGCCTTCTGAGGGAGGTACAGCTGTTGTACACAAGCAACATGACATCAGGTAGCAAGGAGCTCTATCTTGCATCCCATTTAAACTTAGTATGCAAGAAGCTTTTTGTAGATTCATTGGCGTCTCCTTTTCCCCAATGTGTTAATTTGAAAATTGAACTCAAAAGGTATCTAACAGGTATTGCGCCTACAATCACCAAACCCGTTAAGAGAATTCCCTATGACAGTTTATTTTTGTAAAAGCCATGCCACGAGCAAGCTGCAAACCAATTACTCAGGCTACATTCCTAGGAAAAAAAGCTCTCTTAACTGCTTTGCCCACAGTCTGCTGGCTCTTAATTACCACAAGCTAAGAGACGGGTGTATTGCTGGATTAGAAAAGAATGAGTCCCCAGCTTGGGGCTTGTCCTTACCCGATGTCTGTGCCAGAGAAGGGATGATGGTTTTTACAGCATTGCTGGCTTACTCTGGCAACTGCTGTGCAAAATTTGGGGGTTTCCAGCCAAGGTCTGTGTTGCCAATAAAGCCTACTAACATCTGTGGTCAGCGGGAGCTCTGTACAGGTGGGTTAAAGCTGTTTCCCTTTCCCAGTTTGAATTTTGATGATGTCCTGCCAGAGAGACAGATGATTATGAGATTTTTCTGTTGGGGTCAGAGGTAATCCATGGGAAGTCATATGTCATGGTTCCAGAAAGCCATTCGCATAGTGACAGGCAGGGTCGGTTAGCCTGGTGTGTGCATAATGGGATGCACGCACTGACTGTGCCTGGGCGGTGCTGGACTTAGGTGTGTCGTGAGCTCTGTCATGCACAGTCTTAAGTAGGACCGTGGTTTTATTTTCTCCTAGAGGCTTCCGACATTGCTGGCTTGTTCATGTGACTGACAGCTTCTTTTGCCCTCAGACCTTTTTTTTTTTTTTTTTAAGGTTTCAATAATTAAGTAGTTGGGTTTTTATTAGAACAGAAGGACTTATCTTTTTGATCTTGTTTGTCCTTCTGGGTAGCCTCTATAGCTTGTTCTTAATAAGCAATTTCAACTACTAGATTTTGTTTAAATGCTGAATGTATGGTTTATATACTCCTTGGGAATAATGGCAGTGTCTTAATAAAATTGTATTAATTTGATACCTGAACTTCCTAACACCAGAAATTTATCTGCCAAATGGCAGACACAATAATAAGACATATCTGCTGTCAGGCTTTAGACCTCAGTGGGTAGCTAATTCTGTGGCCCAATTTAATCGTTGTGACCAGACACTTATTCAACTGAAACTCTCAGTCTAAATGTGTAAGAATTTAAAGCTCTAAATATCACCAGAAGCCCCGAGTTTTAAATTAATGTTCACCTGTGTTTTCTCACTATTTCACTTTCCAACTATTTCTTCTCTTCTTCCATATGTCCATTTATCCCCCATCATCTATCCCCTTTTATGTCCATACATTCATCTTTTGTATAGCCAGCCATCCATTTATTCAGCAAATTATTAATAACCTATCAAGTTTCTGGGTTATTATAAGATGATGGAAATTTTGAAATGAGTAAGACAGTCACCTTCTTGAAGCTTACAGACGATCTATTGACTGCTCCTATCACAAAAAGGTTTGTTGTTTTGTCCATTTGTAGCATCAGCAAGTATTTATTGAGTGTCTTCTATGTGCCAGAACCAGTGCCTGTATATAACAGAAACTACACAGAAAACACTCCTGCCTTCAGTGAACTGAGGAGAGTCAATAACCACATTGACAAGCCATAAAAAGACCCAAGATTGAGTTAGATGCTGTGATTGAATTTTGGAATTCTTCGAGCTCCCTGACAACCTGAGCAACATAGGAAATCACATTGCTTAGCTATGATGGTCAACAAGAAAAGCATAGCATAGTCACTAAGAAGCCAGAATTCCCCAGTTATTAAAAAACTTATCACACCAAGTTTTCATGTGGGGGACACTGAATGGTGGGAAAGGCAGTCTCTATTAACTCCTGCTTTGCAGCAAATGCAACATGCCAGAAGACAGCTACATTGACCGGTTTCTGTTCCCTTGTCCTCTATTTGTGTCCCGGGAGGGATGCTGTGGACATTGCTAATGACTATTCATTAAAAAATCTGATGGAGGGTCCTCCCTTGTGGTTCAGTGGGTTAAAGCACAGCATTGTGAAGCAATCAGCAGCCACTGGAGCACCAGTTTGATTCCTAGCCAAGGAGCTGACCCACATGACATGGAGACCTCTCCTGACCCACCCGCTGCTCCCCTCATCAGTGTATTTCAGTACATCTGCCTGTTCTGCTCCTCACTCTGCCTCTGGTAAATCCTCTCACCGCCCTGCCTCTCTGGCATATAACCCAGCTCTTGTATGCATAAATAAATAATTATTTAAAAAAAGTCTGACGGAAAAATCTCTTAGACAGTGTGCGCAGTGAGTGACCTGGACTGAATGGTCCAGGCTTATGGATCCACCGTCTTGTTCAAACTCTCGGTTGTCTCAGTATTTAATGCCACTTGTCCGACAACCAGGACAACTGTGTATCCCACCAACATTCTCTTGGCTGCCTGGGAGGAGGAGGAGGGCTTTTGAGTAAGTCTCCCCACCACTCACCTCTTAGAGCTGCTCATACTCGCAATTCCTTGCAACCCTAGAAAATGGACTTCACTGTTAGGTTTGATTCCTTTACAACATTCAGTGGGAACTAAAATACATTTTTATATCCAATCGGTACCTTCCTTTTCTTAACCATGAACTCATCTCACCTGCCATTTTGGAAGAAATAATTTGACTTAGATTTATAAATGGTAAAAGAAAGAGATGAAAGGAAGGCCCACCCTCTGCTTTGGCTTATCTTCCGTGCAACCTTTAATGACATTGGCCTAATATTGCATCTGCACTTGGAATTTTCCCTATTGTCCATGTAAATCTCTGCAGTGGCCTTCAGTCTTGGCAGATAAGTGAACTGTAAATAATTTTGCTTTAAAATGGATCGATTTGTCATTTTTAAGCCACATGAATTCTTTTCATCATTTAAGCTCCTAAGTGCTGTCTGTATTCATTCGCTCCTCCGAGCAAATATTTTCAGCTCACTTTATAAGCACCTCCATTTTGAAATCATTCTGTGCAATACTGATGAGCTGATTTTCCCCTCTATTTCCACTTATAAAAACCATTGTGCCTTCCTGATTTTGGCCAGGAGAAAGAAAATCACTTGTTTTAGGGATGTTGGTAGTTTTATTTTAAAACGTCTTATGGCACAAGTTCATGGCTAGGGTGTGGTTAAGTACTTTTATGGAGCTTTCAAAATTAAGTCCATTTCTCTCTATCACTGGCACTGATTTGATGTTCACAAATAAAAATCTGCTTTCAGAAATACCAACATAAGTATTACAGCTCTAAGCTTTTGTCTAGCAGGTTCTCCACCCCTTACTGGAAAACCCAAAAACAAATGAACAAACAAACAAAAAAAGACCTAGTGATAATAGACAGTACTGGA